TTTTAAAAATTATTTCGCAAATGAACTCGTATAAGATGAGTCGTGTTTTATATGTGATAAAACACTCCTACGCGTGCTTTAAATAGTACTTAATAATAAGAAAGCAATTGTTTATTGATATACCCGCGTCAAAATATTCAGCAGAGAAATTGACACTTTCCGGTTTCTGACAATGCTCGACCTAATTAGCATGTAGCATAAATTTTTACATTTATTTAATATAGCAACTTAATTGCCGAATTAATCTTTGTTTATGAAAGGATATAAAGATTGTTATAAGTTTTACAGTTTAAACAAATGCCTGTATTCGCCGATCGATATTTCAAGCCGTTTGCTAATCGATTAAAGATATTCATAACTTGAGCACGCCCCTGCAATGAACATGGAACCACCGGTAAAAATAAATAGAAAAATAAATGACCAAGCGCGACAGAAAAAATATTTGCGTATTAATTGCGAAACGTTTAATTAACAAAAGCAAAATAAAAGTTGACTTTTAAGTTATTTTTTCCAGCAATTTTGCTGGGTGAGAGTTTTCAAAAAAAATTACGTTAGCAACGCATGCGTCGTCACTCGTCAATTACAGGAAAATTATCAAACTTTGTAGATGATTTGTGGCTATGCCCGTCAAGTGCCCAAATATTTTACGTTTCCCGTTAAAAAAACACAGCTCTAGGTTCACAATGGTAGTAATGTGTACTTGGTATAAGGTGCCAAACTTACGAAAATTGCTATTTAATTTGTCTTATAATGTGCGACTTTGCAAACTAGTAAAAGTGTATCTTTTCAGAAAATTATTTCTTCTCAAATCCTGGATAGATGTTCCTGATTTTTTGTTGTAAGAAACTATAACCACTGATTGTTAAAATATTTTGATACATAAGACTCTCACCTACCTACTTGCTTCGCGAGAGTCGTACGAAAATCTGCTATTTACGGCATTTTCAGGCCGCCATTTTGGACCCGTCAAGGTGTAAAATATCAATGGGCCAAATTTTACAAAAAAAGCTTTTTAACGCAAACCGATTTCTTTTTTCATACAAGTACCTGAAAGGAAACTTATTGTGAAAAATTTGAAGACTTTCATATTTCCTTCCAGAACTGGGTGCCCGGTTCTTACAGAGACAGCCTCTTAAACGTTTGTTGGTGTCTTTGGGAATCATCAGCATAACTTAATGGCATGGAGGATAGTTGGGTTCTTTTAATGAAGTTCTGAGAGTGATTTTGCTGGTCTTGGTGAAATCGTTTGTCGGGTCAGCGCTTTGATGTTTGCACGGTGACGTTTAGACTTTAAGTTTTTCAAGCGCATAAATTTGGAGGTGTTGTTCAGGGATGCCGGAACCACTGGTGCAGTGGGTGCAAGTGCACCCCATGCCTTTTGTATTCATGACTTTTTGGGTGCAGTGCGGGTGCACACTATGGATGCAACGGGTGCACAAAAGACTTAAAACGAATATATTTAAATTATTTCACACAAGCAGATTACTTACGTAAGTGTGTAGTTGTTTGAAGCTAACCTGCGATCAGGCGTTATTTCAATGCGGGGTAAACGACCTTTCTTCAGTAGAAGAGAAAGCTAAACAGTTTCTGCTAATTCTGTGTGCCTATTTTATAATTTTAATGTTTGAAATTAATAAAGGTTGCTTTATTGCTTGTGTTTGATTTTAAATTAGGTTATAAGTAGGCAAGTGACCTTTTATTTTTGTTTCTGCCCTTTTTTAAAAATGTGCCCTTTTGATAGCAAATCGCACCCCTTGCCCTCAGCAACTTCCGGCATCCCTGTTGTTGTTTTAACTGAAACCGATTTACAAAAATTATATAAACAAAAAAGAAGTGAAACAGCAGAGTTGAAAAGCATACCTATAATGTCCAATATATACAGTCTTATAAAGCTGGTTTTCCACTAGCGAATTTTTTCGCGCGAAGCGACTTTTTTCCTTTGTCGGTCTCACTTATTATGTCAACAAGACGTGGCAAAATGGATGCCGACAAAGGAAAAAGGTCGCTTCGCGCGGAAAAAATTCGCTAGTGGAAAACCGGCTTTAGGGCCGTTTTATACGTCGAATTTTGGTCGCATCGAATGCAATTAAGACAATGGACCATTTGCATTATAGACTAAATTTTGATCTTGACAAAAAATTCATCACAGCTTGAAAGAGCATCACAAAATTAGTAATATTCCAAAGTTTCGTTGTGAAATGTTGTAAAATGCGGATAATATAGCCTTGCGAAGTTTGCCGTTTCTCACTCATCCTTCGTTGAAGGATAAGCGCATTTAAATCTGTCCAGTGGTCGAAAGACTACAACGTTGGGTTGCCATAATTCCACACAATGAGCTTCGAAACGCAGTCGCCTCTGCGATTTTTCATTGACATTAAAAATAAATAAATTGTAAGGAAAACAAAAAACAAGAAAATGATGGTGAGCTTTGTTTGTCGTGTTACCAACCCTCCAATCAAGCACCTGTAAGATAGAAGCTTTGTGGGGAAGCTGCTGGTTGTCTTGGCCCCATCCAGGTTTCCTGTAAAGATATTGCAGGTTTTTCCTGGCGTCCCTGATGTTCCAGCTGTAGTATGAGTGATGGTAATGCTCAAATATATGTCTTACGATCAACTTGTAGTTAAAAAAAAAAATCTATTTGCATATGACATGATTTTAATCAATTAGTTATTTAAAGTGTGTCGAAAGAGAAATATAGACGACATGTCTTCGAAAAGCACAAAGATCATCTGTCTTCTATACGATTACAGTTGTGGTGGGTGTTACAGGTGTGGTGCGATTACAGTGTGGTTTTTTCGTCTATGGGGAATACACATGCTGTGTATTTGTGGGGATGGAGTGCTCCCAAAGGTCACCCTCAACACCATAGACTCAGACAAATCAATGTATTATACAGTGTATTGTAAAGTAAACAATGACCATCACGGGGATCTACTACCCCTTGGACATTAAAGTAAACAATGACCATCACGGGGATCTACTACCCCTTGGACATTAAAGTAAACAATGACCATCACGGGGATCTACTACCCCTTGGACATTTAAGATGCCCATCTCGGGGATCTACTACCCCTTGGGTAAAGTCCAACATGGGGGAACTACGACCCCCTGAGGACATATAATTATATCATAATCATATTGCTGTAATAGTGAGTCTGTGGGGCGACACTTTGGCCACAGTTTAAAGTATAATCGGAGCATTTCTCCTCGACAACCCTTCTCCCACAACATTGTGTGTGTCATAGTTGTTTTCTTAATTGTCCTAGAATATTTGCTTAACGAATTGGTGCATTAAGCACGGGAAATTGACAGCCCAATCGGGTGTTGGGGCATCAATTTCCCGTTTGTAATACAAAATGACTGAAAATTGCAAATTTCGCAAGGCTATATTATTCGCATTTTACAACATTTCGCAACGAAACTTTGGAATATTACTAATTTTGTGATGCTCTTTCAAGCTGTGATGAAATTTTTGTCTACAGGGTGTATAAAAAAAAACGCAACCTCGGAATTTCCTAAGAAATCATTCTGCAATTCTTAAGCATAAAAGATTTTAGGCCCCTGGGAATTGAAATCGCATTGCTAATAGATCATATTACTGTCGTTGTGTATGCATAAATTTTGAAAAAATAAATGCATAAATTTTGCTTTATGTACTCGCGTGTGCAGTAATTTTGACAGTTGTGCTATTTTAAACTCCCAGGCGCCTAAAGTCTTTTGTCTTTAAAACAATGTCGATTTCTTGGGAAATTCCGAGTTGCGTTTTTTTATACACCCTGTAGATCAAAATTTAGTCTTTAATCAAATGACCCATAGATAATGAGATGACAAACATCATTAAGCTTCGTAAATCGTAATAGCATAGTTGCCCGGGTTTCTTTTGTTTCAAAACCTTTGTCTCCCTGACGACTACGCATTAGGCAAGTGCCTCACGCACATAATCGTGCAAGGAACAGCAACAGTTAGCTCAGAGCCGTCAATAGTCTATCATCCGATCCCTGAGTTGCCGCATCATTTAAATTACGCACGTG